TTACCAGTTTCTCCATCACAGCATATCACTTCTCGTGCATGAAGAACAGGCAGTCTGCTTTGTTTGATGTTAGCGTACATATTCTTTGCTGGTGTTTGCCTAACTTCACTAAAATGGCAACTAAGTCCTTTAAAAAACAAAGCAAAAAAAGCAAAGTGTGCTGCTTATATACCGCCCCATAGTGCTTCAAGCACTCTCTGGGCGGTTTAGAAGTTAGTTACGCAGGCTACATATTGCCCCTCTCCCAGCAAACTGGGTACTCATTTTACTGACCTCGGAAGGACAGAAGGCTGAGTCAACCTTGAGGCCAGCTACCTGGGATTGAACCCCAGGTCGTGAGCACTGTTTTGAATGCAGTACAGCAGTTTAACCACTGCGCCACAAGGCTCTTGATTCAGAGTCAGTTGTGAAGGGGGAAGTATTGTCAAAAGACATCATGTAAGGAAACTGAAGCCAAAGACAAAAAAGAGCCTTCCTTACCCTAGCCTGAGTGTTGTATGACAGTGGGAATTTTTACAGGGGTTGTGCCAAGAACAGAAGCCTAAAGGATGAACTTACACTAATAATGATCATAATGACAGACAATTGCATTATTAATGACCATCAAAAGATACAGTGTGATAGATAAATGTGCATCATATATCTGCTTGCAAGACTGAAAAGACAGTTAAAATGGGCTATTTTTTAAAGACAGAGTTAGGCAGCTGCCTCTTGCAGCTGATTTTGAGTGCCATGAAAGGACAGTGGTGCCTCGACTTACAAACTTAATCCATTCCAGAAGATGGAACGTAACTCGAATTGGTCATAAATCGAAGCACCATTTCCCATAGGAATGCATTGAAATCCCATTACTCTGTTCCGGCCAGACACCAAAAAAACAAAAAACAACACTGCAAGTCCCATCGGAATGCACTGAGGCTGGAAAAAACACACACCAAAACCAAAAAAAATCACAGCACAGAAACATAACCAGTCCAAACCCACACTTTAAAAAAAAACCCTGTATGTACTCAGAAGCAGAAACCAGGCAGTCCGAAGCCTCCCTGCAAATGCACACTCTCTAACCGTTGGGATCAAAGAGCTACAAAGAAGCAGCCTCTTTGCCACCAACAGTTAGCATTTGGGGCCGAATTCCCTGCCTTTTTTTTCCAGTTGGAACTCGAAGCTCCGGTTGCAAGTTGATGCAAAATTTTGTGGCCGGAGCTGGTCATAACTCGAAATGGTTGTAAGTAGGGACGCTCGTAAGTCGAGGCACCACTATGTTACATTATTTTTAGTGCTAAATGATGGATGAGGCAGTTGCTGGTTATTTCTGTCTTGTATGCCCAAATACTTAGACTGAGTTGGAGGACCTATGGCAGTCCAATGGTCACACATGCCCACCCTGGGATCTTGGAGGGCCAAACTCACACCCTACCCAAGCTAAACATATTTTAAAGTCCTTTTTCTGTTGAGACCTTTCCCTCCTGCCAAGCTTTCGTGGCCATTTAAAGCAACAGATTGGAAATGGGGCCACCAGTATTGCTGGAGATTTTCTGAGCATGTTTTTAAATTAAAAAAAGATTTTAAATTTTTTTTGAGGAATGGAAGGGGCTGAGAAGACACATTTTGGGCTCATGTGATCCATGGGTCACATTTTGCTTATTCCATTGTATATGCTATGTACCTTGACTGCAGTGAGATTGGATGGACACCATATTCTGTTGTACTTCAACAGATACCTTGAGCTCATTGTCCTTATGTGTATGCATTGTGGGGTTTTAGGGTCATGCACCGCAATGCTCAATGAGCTGTAACAATTACATTTACAAAAACTGTAAAAAGGTGCTGCATCTCAGTCTTATTTCTCAAGAAGATGTTATTGGTTTTTGTCACAGCAAAAAAACAACAAAGAATCTTATGGATCTTGAAAGATAAACTTTTGTAGACTTATATGTGCTTCTTCAGGGGTATGGAATAAGGCCTTTCACCCTATCTACTGAGTTCTTACACTATGCATTTGAAGAAGTGGGCTAACATCTGCAAAAGCCAAATAAAACCTCTTAATCTTGAAGGTGCTACAACAGTCCTGTTTGTTTGCTGTAGTTGACACTAATATATAGTCATTCCAGTTGTAAGCTACTCCTGTTCTTAGTGTTCTGATGTGTGACATAAATGGCACAACACTGAGTTTGTTAATGATCCCTTGAATTTATACAACAGTGACCTGTGCAGAGAAATGTAGCAGAAGAACTAAAGAACTCATAATTGATTTTAGGAGGAAGAGAAATGTACATTTACCACTGTACATAAATGGTGTGGAAGTGGAGAGAGTTGGTAGTTTTAAATTTCTGGGTACTTACATCTCAGAGGACCTCTCATGGACTATAAATGCCAACATGCTAATGAAGAAGGCACAGAAGAGGCTGTATTTCCTGAGAATGCTCGGCAAGTTAAATTTATCTCAGCATTTACTTCTGTCATACTATCGTAGCACCATTGAGAGTGTCCTAGCCTATGGCATTCTGGCATGGTTTGGGAATAGCTCTGTAGCGGACAAAAAAGCTCTACAGAGAACCATTAACATTGCCCAGAATATCATCGGGCTCCAGCTACCACCCCTGGATGGCATCGCCACATCCTGCTGTCTAAGGAAATCACATAGCATCCTGAGAGACTCTTCCCATCCTGCTTATAACTTTTTTGAACTTTTACCGTCTGGCAGAAGATACAGAACAATTAAGACTCGTTTTCTGAATAGTTTTCATTCCAGAGCTATAATTGCAATTAATAATGAGCTTAAAGACCACCAGTAGTGAATAATTAGTTGGACTGTGTTACTTGGCCTGCAATGTAGATGTTTGTATTTTTAGTGGGGGACTTTTAGTGAGTGGGGAGTGTTTGGGGAATTGTATGTGTGTGCATGTGTCTGGTCTCTGGGTGTCTGTGAATTTCGTTGTATGGTATACTGTGTATATACTTACAATGACAATAAATTATTATTGTTGTTGTTGTTGTTATTGTTATTGTTATTAAAGGAATAGTCTGTCCCTTCTTTCAGGGTAATGAAGAACATCATTAATGGGCTTATCTTCACTACTGATTAACCCTACAATATGCATAGGAGGGTTTTTTCCTGCTGTGATTTGAAAGTCATGTGAAATTTTTGTGGGAGAGCAAGGCATATTGGGCAGTTTGAGGCATTAGATTGTGGTTCAGCCCCCAAGCTAAAATAAATGAGCCTGCCAGGATGGTGATGCACTTCTGAAAAGAATAAATGATGCACTTTCAAAAAAGAATAACATGAGTCCAGGGGGAAGCAGAATCCAAGAATCACTGTGCACCATGTGATCAACTTTTAAAAAACATCAATACAATTACAGAAGTCTGAAACACCAGAACGAGGAGTCGGAAGCATGATCAGCCTTGGACTTTGGTGTAATCTGACTGCGCCATCCTTCTGTTTCTAACATTTCACATGTCTCGATGCAATGGAGCCGCTTTGCTGTGAATGGAATTAAAAGAAATTGTGTTCATGAGCACAATGCAATATTTATGAGTGCATTAAAAATGTACAGTCCTCTTTAGTATCATTGAATAGTATACTATATCTGAAATTACCTACACATGCTTAAAGAGATAATATTGGAAAACATCTCATTCTGTTTTTAGAAATGGATTCGTTCTGGAGGCATTATGTTGCTTTGCCTGTAGCCTGTAGGTTAGATTAAATAAGTCTCTAAAGTTGCAGCATCAATCACAGCAGCTGATTTTATTTTGAGTTATTTTCGTGATGATCCACAAATGGACTTTGTCTCTCACAGTAGCCACACACGTGAGTTGATGTTTCCACTGAACAATCGATCTCAACTCCAATGCACTTATTCTTGAGCCATATTAGTTTCTTCAGAGTCTTCTTAGGTGAAACTGAATAAATGTGGTCTGTGGCAAAACAGGGGACCCTTATTTATAAAGTATTCATTTTCACAAAATGAGACTTATGACAGATGACATAGCAGAGGCTTGGGGATGCTATAAATTAATTATAACTTGGTGAGTGTCTTGAGATGTCCACAAGGTAGCCACCTCCTTGGAGCAAAGTGTCACGGAAGTGGAGCTGCATGGGTGTATGCATACAAACAGAAGTCCTTTGCAGTGACGAAAAGCCATTATGCAAGCCAGTCATAAACCTTTTACACTCTTTTGAATTTTTCATTGGGGTACGTGTATTACTGCTAAACTTGAATTGAATACAGGATACTTATAGAGGAGATACTCTATTTATTCCTTCTTTTTAATACTGAGTTCTACATGCAGCCTTTTCCAACAATTCTGTCGTTATTATCCCCTTATTACAAATGTAAAAATGAGGCTGAGATAGATGGTTGTTTGGTCACAGAGGGTGCAATCATATGGTGAATAAAACATACATCTGAGTGCACTGGAAAGGGTTGAGCAGTCTCTCTTAAAATGGCCTTTCAGTCTGTCAAAGAAATTACTTCAACCCAACCCCAAAAAAGGGCTAGCTTACAGTTGGACCCAAAAGATTCAGCTTGGGCGTAGATCTGGGTCAGCTTATTTCCCACATGGTATGTGATTGCCAGGAAATAACCCACACCACAGTTATTTTGGACCAGATGTGGTCCAAAATGTGAACAATATGCCCATAGGATAACATCCTTAGCAGTTGACTTGATGCCAGATTGTTAATCCCAAATGCATCGGAATCAATATTTAGTTTAGGATCGACTTACCATAGCTTTGAGTTAAAACTAACCACTGGATTTAGGTCCTTCATATATGACTCTCAACCACTTTCTATAGCTCTTGCTGTTTAATGTTAGAACACAATCCAAAGTAGAAAACAGGATTTAAAATATGCTAATATCTGGATTGAATTGCTGCTTTCAGTTAGAGTTTCATTATCAACGTCATAGGTTTTTAACAGGAAATTTTAGCATTCTTCTTTTCAAAGTATTGGTCTTTAAAGAAGAAAAATCTGTATTTAAATATCTTTTTAGGTACTCATGTCATGGAGGGCTCTGGAAGAATGGTTGTTACTGCTGTGGGCGTTAATTCCCAAACAGGGATCATCTTTACTCTGCTAGGCGCTGGTGAAGAAGAGGAAAAGAAAGATAAGAAGGGTATGTGTTTTGTTACATATTTTAAATATTCTCCAATAAATATCTGTGTTGATTATGTAAGTTTGATGCACAAACTGGGTAATTTATGCTGATTCAGCACCATCCTTTTATGAAGCACAGCTTCTGAGGGCCACGATTTCAATATACTTGCTGTATATCTGATATTTTGAACAGTTTGGATCTTGTAAAATTTGAGAAAGGAAATATATGAAAGTAACCCTAAAACCACTGGGTGGTATACCATCCAGATGAAGTGGACTGTTGATCCCATTAGCTTTCTGTGAATAAAATGCAATGCACTTAAAACTTACACATAATTAATTCCGTGTTACAGCAAACGAGTGAAATAATTTTTGCTTTTATGTATCTTGTGAACTGAAACTCTAGTCTCAGATGTATTTCACATCATAAATTTAATTTTAAATCATAGTTGTTTAAAATTGCCCCATGTATTACTGTTTACTGAAAATATCATTGTTTAATTTCAAGGGTTGGGTAAATAAACATTTGAACCTTTTCACCTTATGCCAAAACTTCAGGATGTGTGGCAGGCCATAGGAGGATTCTCTTTCAGTTTTTCTGTCCATCAGTCTTCAGCACAGCTGATTTAGGTCTTCTAACTACTCATATTTTTTTGAAATAGGTGTTATTTTATTAGAGCATGTATCACCAGCATAAGAATGGTTAAGAAACATGACTTTTTTTAAAAAAAACAAATGCATAATTTCTTAGCTTTTCACAAATATGCACTATTCAGTGTCCCTGTGTTTGAAATGACAATCTGAAACTCAGTCAAAGAGCAGTCAGCTATAGTTCTATCCAAAGCACGGTTTGTGACATCTGGGTTAACCCACGTGCACCATTGTAAATTATGTTTCAGTGCAATCCTAGTAGTAGATACTATTGCGTTCAGTGGAGGTTATTCCCAGGAAAGTGGAAGGAGGGCTGCTGCCATAGCCATTTGGAGAAGGATAGAATAAGACAAAAGCAAATCCATGTGGCACAATATATATGTGAGTATAAGTATATGATAGGAATGCTTTTGGGCAGCTCCCATAGGTATCAATATCAAACATATGCATATACTTCAGTGTTGCAGGTAGTGGTAACAAATACTACACTTAAAACCTATTGATTTCAACTGGCCTTAAGATAGCCAATACTTGTATATCAGGCTTTCTTCTGGAGCTGTGTTTGCCTGGTCTGGAGAAGATTAGAGTGATAAGCACTTACCTGAAGAGAGTGGTCATATTATATTTCAAAATATGTATATATTTAAAAAGCAAAGTGTGCTGCTTATATACCACCCCATAGCACTTTAAGCACTCTCTAGGCAGTTTACAATTATGCAGGCTATACACCACCACTACCACCAGTGAGCTGGGTACTTGTTTTACTGACCTCGGAAGGATAGAAATCTGATTTACCTGGGATTGAACCCCGGGTCATGAGCGCAGTTCTGGCTGCAGTACAGCAGATTAACCACTGCGCAACAAGGCACAAAATTCTGTGCAGTTCTGGAATAAAACTGATCCTTCCACTGATGGAATGGCTTCCACCAAAGGAATTAATAGAGGGCCATTTCACCTCCCCCCCCCACACACATAACCCCTCCTGTGGCCTAAAATCTGCACACTCACTTCTGCCTGTGTAATATTAGGTTTCACCCTAACCCTTACTTACTTTTCTGTAATGATGTTGAGATGAAGGGGTCCTTCTGCCCTCCAAAAGGTATAATGCAGCCATTCCGTTGTTTGGTTTCATTTTACAAAGGTGTTTTTTTTTTCAATTAAGAAAAAGGAAATGGGAGAATGTGGGAAAGCTGCAAATAGAATTCACCTATAGCTCCCATCAATTCCCACAAGTGAGGCTAGCAACAGCCTTCTCTGCTAGGCTCCAAGATGGCAGCTTTCAGTGGTACACATGGTGCCAAGTCAGGTTAAAATCTGCCTTCTCAAAGCCATTCTCTTGTCCAAACACTGACAAATGCCCAAAGACTTTATAGCTACTGTTAATGTATTTTGGTGGCCAGATAACTCAGTGGTTTAGGTATCTGGCTGCAGAGTCAGATATGGGGGTTCAGTTCCCCACTATGCATCGCAGAAGAGACAGCCTGTGTGTCTTGGGCAAGCTGTACAGTCTCAGGTTGCCTCCAGAATAAAGGAATGTTAAACCGCTTCTGAGTACTCATTATGTGGAAAATTCTGAAAATGGTTGCCATAAATTTGACTTGACGGAACACTATTATTATTATTATTATTAATGTATTTTGAGTAAACCACTTTCACTATAGGAAGCCACATTTTACAGAGCCCATCTCTGTCTACTCGCCTGCTTTTCTGTGAGCACATTCTGCTATTTGATAGAGCTTATTCTCTTTCCTGGCATAGTGTATCAATATTCCTTTTAAGTATTTGGTTGTGTGTTTTTTTAAAAAAAGATAACTTGCCAGTCAATAGTATCATCTGAGAAGTAGGTGAAGGGTGGCGATTGTGGGGAGAGAGATTCATGTTTGTGTCATACAGCTTTCATGAAAAGTCATTACATATCCAATAAAACATCTAACAAAACACAATCAAAATTTATTTAGTGGTCATGCAAGCAAGCCTCCAGGGGTGTAATGATCAGGCTGCATGAAGCTGCAATTCTTCAAGCACTCTTCCTGTCCTCACACGATTGATTTAAACAGGGCTTGTGCATGATTCCAGCATGAACCCCACTAAAACAGACAGCAATTGACAGCAGCCGTGCTCACTAGGTGATGCCCTAATTTCTAAGCACAAACATCATACGTTCACTGTATGTATGCTTGAAGCTTTATGAAAAGCCTACCAGTCATATATGTTTCCATTTCAGTTTTCTCTAGTATATGCCTTTCTTCTTCATTAACATGTTGTAAAAATCATCATGCAGGTGTGAAACAGAAGGATGGACCTCAGCTTCCAGGTAGAGTAAGAACTCTCCAATGTCAGAGAAATGAACGAGGCTTATAAATCAAGCTTTTCTGCCAGAGCTAGTGCTAAGCAAAGCAACAATCTACACCTGAGTGAATGGTCAAGTGACACAACCATACTATTTGAGAATTCAAATTAGGACCACTTACTACCTGCCTTAAAGTCAATTTAAAATGTGGGCAGAAAACAAAGGCTATACGTAGGTTTAAATTTCTAACTTACCTCCTCCATGCATGACCCAAACTAGCAGAAGTCAAGTAAATGGACAGCCTAACTTTAGCAGGCAAGCAGGCATGGGTACTGAGGAATTAACTGAAGTCCACAAGGAGGCAGTGAAGGCAATAACACTTTCTCACTGTTCCCCTGCAAGTGGTATTTAGAGCCTGATCCCCACTGATTTACATTTCAGGACATTTAAGGTGGCAGTTTTGGAGGTCGACCTTGATGATGAACCTTCTAGAGTTACTTCGACTCTAGCTGATATCAGACTGTGATAACCTATGAAATTTCACTCTTGAGGGATGTGAAGCAGAAGGGTTATCATGGAAGGTTTCCCTCTCAACGGACCCCTTTCATAACCCCTTGGGCGTGTCGGTATCCATACAAGGGTGCATTTTCTCAGTAGGAGTGTGGCTTTAGAAATGGGATTGTCCATGCTGATTATTTACCTGAATCAGCTGATAGCTCCAGACATTACTTGTACCTTACCATCTACAAACTAAAACCAAATCTTTGAAGCCAGAAATGGTTTGCTGAAAAATTAAATTTGAAAAATAAAACTGGGAAAGTTCAAAAGTTCTTTCATGAAGAAAAAAATGAAGTAGCTACAAACAAAACTACTTCAGGTTGCTTATTCATTGTGGATTATTCACTCAGCTCTGACAGCTAAATTCCAATCAATAGAAAATCTGCGGGGAACTTTTTCTTTCTCCTGGTGTGAAGGAACTTCTTGCCTGACCTGTTCCCTCTCTTTGTTAGGAAAACTGCTGACATTTTAGAACTGTGGTTGATTTCCTTTGATCTTTTTGTAATTATCTCATGTAAAATGAATGACAGGATATTGCTAACAAACTTATTTTATCAATCTTGAATTGAATGTAAAGAGGAAGTGTCAAAGGCGGCTAGTGGATAAAATCTTGGGTTTCCCAAAATTGTTGTTATAGGTGATATAGACTGAAACCTTACTCATACTTACTCAGGTATATGTCCCATTGGATTCAAGAGTACAGATGAGCACAAATTGCTGGTCCAGTGGTTTGGCAGAATTTGTTTCCCCACCAAACAACTGATCTGTGGTTCAGTGCCCTACCTCCTCCAGTGGACATCTACGCTGTGGCAGCACCCCATCCTGCCTCTTCTAGGTGCTGCCGCTAAGAGGGGCAGGATGCCAAACCACAGATCAACTTTGCCTGGGAAACAAACTGTGCCGAACCACGAAAGTTGAATTCCTTCTTCAAGAGGAATAACTTTTGAGTCAACATGTACAGGATTAAATGGTGAATAAATTTTGTATAGTCTTTTTAGAACAAGTTAAAGATTCTTAAAAGGGCACCTTTCAGATGCACATGTAAGGTAGATTAGTTCTAGCTATAAAGTAGGTATTTATAATATAATACTGGATTTTTATCTTAAGTTTCAACCAAAAACATTTTCTTTAAAAGGCAGCTTAAGAACGTCTGCACAGAGGAGCGAAGGAATTTAAAAGTAATGTGTAAAATCAGTTTCTCACCAACTCTGTTAACTCTGTTAAATGTCTTTCACATTTATTTTATAATATTCCATGTATGAGTTTTTGTTCCCCACTTTTGTAACATTCCTGTAGTAACATTCATTTTTAGACATTATGTTGTCTACTTTAAAACAAACCTGTTCAGGAGGTGAAAAATTAAGCCACATTAGTCCATAAATGTTCTTGTTTCTGTCATGTGAATTTGTTCATATTATTATGATTTATTCTTTTTTCTTTTATTCATTATTACTCAGTAGATTCTTCCCATACCTCCTTCCATCCTCCTTCAACTACAGATGGGGCAGCAGGTGCAAATGCCACTGATAATGCAAATGCCAGCTTAGTCAATGGTACGTTAAGAACACCTAGCTTGTTTTTATTTGATGGATTTCTCTCCTAACTATATAAGCCTCCCTCTTTCTCTTATGAACTGCACAGATGTTGTATGTGCATGTGATTACCGTGTGAAAACTCCTCTTGTACCACAGCTTATAAGAGATGCCACAAACTCCACTGTTTTGCCAGCCAGTCAAATCTTTGCCGTGAAGCAACAATGGGTTGAGAACAAGTAGGAATTCAGGAATCTTTTTTGATTCATTCAGTGATTGAAAATATCCTACAAATGTATCTTTAAAAACCCCTGCAAGGTTTTCAGTGTCAAACTGTTGTTTCCATGCTTTTCTATGCATATATGAAAGATAGCATGATTTTGAATTTTGTTTTTCATTCTGATTTTCCAACGTGGCACTCTCATAAGCATCCATGGTCTCTCAACCTAGTTTGGGAAAACAATCCTGCTGGGGTCAGAAATCTGGCTTAAATACAACCAGTAGCATTGTAGTGCTTTTCCTTGCTTCCCTCAAACTTTGGACTCAGCACCTAGCTAAGCATTTACTGTAGGCTACGATGCTAAAAATCAAATTATTGCTGTGTACTCTTGTGCATGTGCTTGGATATGGTTTCATACATTGTTTTTTCTTTTAACAACTATAACTTCATTTTAAAATTTCTGAATGTGTCTTTGGCCAGCTTCTTAGCATGCCCATACGATAAACTGCCTCATAAGGAGATATAATTATAGTAAGTATGAGTGGGTGAATGTTCATTTCAACTTTGGATAGAGTAGTGTTGCTGAAAATTATATCTTTGCTATATTTGTTTTTGTGTTTAGGGTAACCACATAATGAATTGTTTCTGTAACCACTCAGAATAACAAAAGTAGAGATGTTTTACAGTGTTTATTCATCTGATTTTAATAGGTATATTTTGTATCCTTTAAAAAAATCAAATACATTTTATAGAGTCTTAGAAATAGAGAATTCTAGAGATGCTTGTGGCTGATGGCTTGAGTGGGAAGGAGAGATCACCACACCTTTCAGGTTGTGCTTCTCAAGGAGTTGCCTTGCCTAGAGATTTTTCATACCCCCAGCTACTCCTTTTATGCATGTGCCTTCTAGGGTGCAGTTGCTAGGGCAAGCTTCTGCATATAAGCCCCATCAGACTGAATGGGCACAATTAAGACATGAAAAGAGAAACATGAGAAAGACACGGATTTTACAGCAATAGAAATAAATAGCGCTCATATTTTGGCTAGGGCCCAAACAAATCAGCTTGTAGTCACTGTCAGTAGATTATTTTCTTTAAAAACTACATTTCAAATGCTGCTTGCTAAGCCATATTAGAAACTGAATTTTAATAATTCCATCAGTTTCGAGAGCAGTTTGCCATGGACCTGCATAGACCTGTCTGAACTGGTTTCAGTTCTTTGGATTCTGGTGAATGTGAACACAACATAGCCTGTTCCTAAGTCTGAGGAGACACTTTCCTCCACCATGGGAAAGTTTTTCCAGGTGAAGCCATGAACACTGGAATCTGCTGGAGTTCAGAGCTTTGGAGGTGCCAGAACAGGCACCCAGAGAAGTGCTCTGAAAATGTAGGTTGTAAGATTAATAAGTGATTTGTTGGGGTAAAATCATGGAAGGAGGCTGCAGAAGTTTTGCTCACATCAACACAATCCTGGAATGTTGATCTTTAGGTGGCAACAGTTACTTTGCTCTCTTTTAACAGCCTGCTGCACTTGCCCCCCAACCCCGGAATAAAGAGGCGAGACAAAATAAGTATGGATTAAATCATGGGCCACAATTTATTAATTATTCCAAAGAGATATTTGCCAATCAATTAACAAGTGGGGGTCTGCAGTAGTGCGGAAGCAGATAAATCCGTCATCATACAGGCGAGTCCCCCGGCCCCAGGTTCTCGCAGTCTTAATGACAGCACAAACCCGGCAGGCTGCTACCGAAACACCCTCAGACCTCGAGCCATCTTCAATTGATGACTGTTGGTCCGGAAGTGGCCCAGTGCAGCTTTCCCACCCAGGAGCGAATCGCACGATTCTCAGCCCTGGGAAGTCCGATGTGCTGTTAGCTTACATTATGTTAAAACTGGGACTCACCGAGAAATGTTTTTCTGCACTACCCGCCAGTGTGACCAAAATTTAACCCTACAATTGCCAACAACCCTTACTAGTGTGGGGTAGGCGAAAAATCCCCCCATCCCAGAGCCAATCGGGATGAAGGTCAAAAATTCCTATCTGGCCCCAAAAGGTGACCAGTAAAACTCACACTAGAAATAGTCCGGGCGGGCGGGTGCCTGAGAAAGAAGAGACGGTTAGCCAGGGGGACTCCCCTTTTTATACCTGAGGTGGTCTTCCTGCTCTTTTATATTTTTCATTATAGAATTCAGTGAGAATGTCAAGTACAAGCCACTCCCTCACTCTCTCTTAAACATGGAATCGATCTATTAACCACTGTTTTCCATTATATGCAAATAGAGACAATTAGAAGGTTTGGAATCAGGATCTTAAGCTAAATTCAAATAAAGGCTTAAATTCCTAGAATGTGTAGTTTCGTGAGGTGTTCAGCATTTTCTGCTGAAGGATGTGCTGAAGCTTTCTAGCAGACCCCATAGTACAGAAAAGAGGAAGGAAGTTATGATGGAACATGCGTGCAGAAGGATTGCATTATCTTAATCTGAAGTATGGTCATCAGAAATGGGCCAGGATACATGCAATCAAAAGCTAGCAAGACTCTTATTCTCAAAATATTATTATTGTGATCAGAATACTTGCAGCTCTTGGCAGCTTCATTTTTCTGTTCGATTGCAAATGAGAACTACAGCTTTGAAAAACAGATGAGATGTTTTTGAAAATGGCAGAAAGAACAGTGCAGCCTGTACACCCCCAAAGCAATGGTGGCTCATACCTTTATTAGGTCACTAGAAAAAATTCACAAATACAAACTAGTTTTCAGCTTTGCCCAGTTCTTATTGAGGTGAGGTACCATGGGGGATGATGCAGAAAAAACAGAAAGCCCTCCAAATTTTGGCAAGATCAGTCTTCTTTGCTTAAAACAGTTTTCAAAAGGGGACCTGTAGACTCCTGTCAGAGAGGTTAGTTTCAGATTTCATCTCTGGCAGCGAGGATTGGACTCTGCTAATCGTGTTAGACAAAGAGCTGCCCTAGAGATACAAAGCTTCCCATCTGGGGGGCCTCGAGAACAGTGAGGATCATGGCTCAGACTGTCTCATCATGGTTGTATAACATACGTAAGACATGCTTGGACGTTTTATCACGACAGTTCTGGGTCTGTAAAAAGGATTACTAAGATGTTCCATGTCATATCCAATTCACTTTTGCTATAATATTATGGTATTGTGTCTGCCAATCCTACCTTTACCTACAAAACATCAATATACTGGCCACTTGAACCTCCTAAAGTTTCATTGCTTTTGGAGGCCAACAGTCTCCTTCTGCTTCCATAAGATTATTTTGCTAGTTATTCCTTAGAGCTATTCTTTATATCTTCTGCATTCTGTAGTTTTTCATTTCCCTCTCTTATTCATCTTCTAGGTTACAATGCTTCCACTTTCTCTTTCACGCTTTTTTTTCTCCCTAGCTGAATGCCCAAATCGAGCACAACCCCTAAACAGTATCAGAACCAGAACCCCTTTTAATACCTTGTTATTTATCAGTCTGTTGGCCTATATTTTTGAGCCAATGAGATAATATTAGTGAATGATCTCCTATCTAGTATATAAAGACCTAGACCTACTAAGGCCCATGACTAATAATGACCATAGAGCGTTCGCTTTTTGTCATTTACAAGGAACAGGATCCAATGGAACTGGTAGGGTACTATCCTGCATTGCAGGTCCCCAAACACAGCCACTACTGGTCCTGGACAGATGGTGGGGTCGGGGGAGCACAGAGCTGGTTTTTTGGAGGGCTTCGGGGAAAAAGGTGAGTGGGAGATGTTGGATGTCAGTTGAACATCAGATTCATCCCAAGAGTAAGAGTTGTATTAACTATAAAGCTGTGCTAGACAGCACACTTAATCAAACATTTGACCAGTTTAAAACGTTTTGTCCATATCCCTTAACATTTGTGTGCCCACCTAACAGGAAGCAATTTAAAGAGAGAATCCAAATGAATTTCATACTTCTTCTATGCACATTAAAAATACACATTTAGCATTATAATTCTTGAAATTCTTCAGGTGACTGTAAAGATGCAGCAAAAATTAAAATGTATCTTTTAGTTTTCATATGAGTTAAAGCAAAAAAAAAATCCTTTACATAACACAGTGGATTGTTTATTATGTGAGCAGAGTTACTCGGTCATATATTTCCTGCTCTAACTTTTATTGCCTTCAGGTCACTACATAAAAATCTGCATAAAAATCTTGCATAGCCTTTATTAGCTATATTGACACATTGTAGACTTCAATATTATAAACCTGGAAGACAGAAGTTTTAAATTGACTTTAGCAATTACAGCAGTTGTATACAAAAGTACTGTCAAGGTAAACTTAACAAGATATGAAAAATTAAAACAACCATTTAAAAATATGCTATTTTGTATTATAGAAAAAAATGTATTTTCTTGATATTAGTCATGTTACTTTAGAATACAGTATATGGGTTCCAATGGGTATATGATAGAAAACAGATTCATGATTACTGATTAGACAAGAATAATCTTTTAAATGTTATCAGTCATATGAATAATCACTTGTAACATTCATACACTTTTAGGAACTATTTTTTCCTAAAATGGACTTTTATCATGATCCCAAGATCTTTGTATGTGAACAGACTTTGTACATACCTGTGTTGCCTTCTTTATTTCTCTGAAGGGAATAAAGAGATGTCTGAAAATAAATTCATATGTGTTTCTGTATCCCACACAGAAATAAATTAGGAGTGAACACATACTGTGCAAACATGTATAGTTTTCTGGGGAAGCCACCAGTTTAAAATTGATTATATCTGAAATACATTTTATTTGCAGAGTGTTTCACTTTTTTCAAAACTAGTTCTGTGACTATAATCCTAAAGACTGATGTCATCAGGGATTTTAATGGCAGTGTTTGTTTATTTAGGTCATTTATAATATTGGTAATCAGAGAGTATTGATTTAAGCAACCTAATTTCTCACAATAATAATTGGATTATATAGTCTGTTGTACGTCTATACTGCAAACAGATCATGTTCAGCAGTTTTCAGCTCCCTACTTAGACTACTATTCTCTTACAAAAATGATATAATTATATTTTCATATTGTAACATAATTATTTCATTTCTCTAATAAGGAAATTATTTTTGTACAGATCATAAAGTAGTGCCTTAGTTTTCAGCAGTTTATGGAAAAAGCAAGGACTTTGGAAGGCCTGCACTTTCAGGAAAATAATAAATTTAGGACAGTAACCCCAAAAAGTGAGATTCTTTGGAAGTTGGACAAAGATTATTAACTAAAATATTAGTCTTGAGAAGTGAGCTTGAACCTTGAATTGCAGATTGCCAGCCAACATTTTCTGTCAAAGTACGGCTGATTTCGGAATAGGCAGATGCAGAGTTGAAACCCGGCCATTTGCTCATTCTACCTAAACACTGAAATACTTAAGGAAAAATGGTGTTGAATATTCAAAAGACTCAAAAGGGCACAACCCTCTTATACCACTTGCTACAGTGTTTGTACTCATAAGAAAAACATATTCACCTCAGGGGGGTCAAGGCAGCATTACAGACCATGGAAGGCTCCCCTCTGAAGATGGAGAAGGACACAAACCCTGTCCACTTTCCCTGCAGTTATCAAAACTTAGGATGATTTTGCCAGCAGAGCTGGGGAACTTAATTTGGTTCACATTTTGATGCAAACCTACCTCATGTTTTACTTTCAAACTAATAATGAACAAATTCTCAGTTATCCTTTGAAATTTACATCTCTGTGATTTTTTGTAATAGATGTTTTCTACTTCAAAATATACACAAAAATGTGTACAGAAAATTGCACACTTAGAGGAGGGTGCATAAGGGAAAGTGCACTAGATGAAACTACACATAACATGTATATATATTTGGGGAGGTACCCATTTAGAGTCTGCTGCAGCAAAATCAAAAAAGATCTAAATCCAGTGTAATTAACAGCTATAGTACACTTATTGAATCACTAGAACATATGTAATTATTGATTTACAAAGTCCCCACTGATTCAGTATATCTAGATGGGACAAATAATGGGATTTAGAATCTAAACAAGCAAGTATGGTTTGCCATAATTTTCAAGGACTGTGTCTGTTGAAAGTTTATGCTAAATTAAACTTGCTGGCCTTCTTGTCATTTTAAGCATGCATATATTAGTGAAATCGAAGTTTTAGAATTTCATTACATTAGAAATATTGCTTCGCAACCTTGCATAGTAGGTAAAACTGCATACAGAACTGCATGTACTAATTTTGCATGTACTAATTGCATGCAAAAATGTGTACAGATTTCATGTGAACTTTAATACGCCCTCAGTGTTTACAAATCTTGGAAGTAAAACACTACAATCATAACAAGGGCGTAACAGTATATTTTGATATATATTTTGATAGACAATAAATCACCTGTTGTTTTCTGTATGGTGTGTTAATAATGCAATATTGAAGAGTTGATTTTTTGTTGCTTGCAATTTTAGAAAAATATCTAAAAATAAATAGTAAAAAATAAAAATGCTCCCAAATGATCCCTAAGTTAATGTTGTAAGCATTTCTAACAACATTAACTTAGGGATCATTTGGGAGCATTTTTATTTTTTACTATTTATTTTTAGATATTTTTATAAAATTGCAAGCAACAAAAAATTAACTCTTTAATATTGCATTATTAACACACCATACAGAAAACAACATGTGATTTATTGTCTAGACACAACAATTAACACATTAGTTTTGTAAATGAACTTTCCTTATATGAGAAGAACTAAAATTAAGAATGAAAAAAATTATCATAGTTTGGAATAGATTGATTTAGACTTAAGTTGTAAACAAACTGATTAATTAATCCATCTCTAACTGCCAATGTAATGATGCTAGCAGGATTTCTTTCTTTCTTTTTTGGTGGTGATCATGAAACTTAGACTACAAGACTCATGATCCTCAATTGAAAGTACCAGCAACATTTTCACCTGCAATCATGTGGCTTGTAGTCCAGTCTCATTATATTCAACAGAAAGACACTTCACTAGCAGACAGCATCTTCTCTGAAACAGTAATTGAGGAAGCCCAGGGGCCCGTCTATGGAGAAGCTGCAACCTATTACTGTATCTCCCTTCCTGCACTGTGAATCTTTTTTTCTCTCTCTTCAGGATAGGACAGTGGGCATCAAAGAGTGGGACAGTGATTAGACAGTACTAAGATAGGTGCTTATATGCGCTCAGAGACTGCCTGGTTAAGTTATGAGCTTTCTTCCTGTACTAACTGAGTTTGTGTTCAATGCTAAAGCTCAGCTGAACTAATACCATAAATTGGGAAAAAAAATACAACTCCCAGAATTACGATGACTGGTAGTCCAAAAAAGTAACTTTTCTAACCTCTGGTGCTCCTGCTTAATCTTTGTGAAGGAACAATAAGATCAGACAAACCTGTTAAATGGTATCTGTGAATTAAGTCTTTTGTGTATGTGTGAATGTTGTAGTGTGTGGAATTCTTGGGCAAATGTATCAAAACAGAAGGTATTTCTTGATAGCAGAATGCTTGAAAAAGAGTGGCTTGTGCCATGCTGAATCATTGTAGGTCCTGTATAACATAAATTGTTAATCTTGCCCCAAAATGTGTGTGGCTTTCAATGTATGTGGCTTTCTATTATGACTGCAACAGAGGAGGATTTAGTGGTAAAATGATAACTTTGGTTCTAATTTTTTTTGTCTGCCCTGGAAGCTTTTTCATGCATATAAAGTCATCATAAAAATTTGCAGTAAACTTTATTTAAAACATGCTCATAACTTGTGTCAGCCCTTTTTATTTAAATCCATGTTGTCGTGTTCTGTCTTTGTGTACTGATTGTTTACGGTCTGTTCTTTGTTGTTTGTTACAATTTTTATCATATAGGTAAAATGCAGGATGGAAATATGGAAAACAACCAGAATAAAGGTAATCTTCTTTCATATTAAGAAGGGTTTTTAAAACATGCGCTTAAGTTTAGCTTAGCAAGTAACTATCAGGGGAATCCGGGGGAAAAATAATACTGTGAAAAAATAGCCGTAAATGACCAAAGAAACTCTGGGGTAAAAGGGGTCCAGATCAGAGCCTATATCGGAGCTGGTACAAGAACCTTGTGTGTTTACTCTTCCAAATAATATGTCCAATTATACCTGGCTCTAGATCAGTGGTTGGCAATCATGCGTCTCTGAATATTGCTGGGCTTCAATTCCTAGACACCCAAGTAATCCAATAGTGAAGGGATATTGGGAGGGATTTTGGCCAGCAACATTGGGGCACGCAAATATGGGAAGCAGTGGTCTAGATCAGCCATTCTCAACAGGGGTCATATGGCCTCAGGACTGCCTGGCAGACTGGAAGTGGGGCACAGACTGGAAACAATTCTTCACATGCCACCTTATAAGTTTTGTTATGCAACTTATACCTTTTAGCCTATATTTCTTTCATACTGTATTCATGACCATGCCCCCCAAAAGTTCAGCTGAGCAGAAAAGGTGGAGAATGGCTGGTCTAGAAAGAGACATGAGAAAGATCCTTTTCATATGATTTCTTGGGTCCATTAAGCTTTCATGTCAGAGCCACAAACCGTGGATGCTGATATACTGGTTCTGACCAAGGGGAGCTGTCACAACTATCTTTCAAGAATTTGTCTCTCTGGTAGGTCATACTGAAAGCCTCAAAGAGTTCTGCCCAGAGCCAAAGCCAGTGCCAAACTGGGTAAATTTCTAACTTTGAGCTCTTTCAAAAGTCACTATGCAAGTTGTACTCCAGTTACTCTTCCTGGTACTACACCACCAAGCGTACCAGGGGATGAATGGGCAGAGACGGTGGTCGTGGGCATCAGAGGGATGTGTGATGGGAGCAGGACCAAGAGACATTGTAGACAAGGAGGAAGAATGGTGCCGGCAGCTGCCTAGACTGGCATATCTCTTTAAGGTGCTGAACACAGAAAAAGACATTAATCTTTAAAAATGGGGAAGCCTAGTATCAGCTCCACTGAGCCCTATAGGCCCTGACATTTGTTCCACTGTGTTGCTGTGGAATCTGCACGAACCTTCTTTTCTGGAGTTGCAGCTCCTTCACTTCTGTGCTGCTTGCTCCATGATGTTGCGTTTATGTGGCTATTACTATGCAGCACTGATAATACTCCCTTTCAGGTATTCTAGATGCACTAAGGTTTCTTCAAAAGCTGTGGGTTAAACAGTTTAAATATATTTGAGCTTCTTAACAGTATAAGCTGAAAACCCTGGCGCTATGTGAGGATGCAACAGAGCGCGCACATTGTTAGTACGGTACTGGTTGCAGTGATGGTGCAACAGCTGAACAGGCAATAAATATTTGAGTTGAAAATGAGCTTCTCTGTTGTGCAAACGTGGCTGCAGAAACGTCAAAGGCATTTCTAGCTTATAACGCTCTCTGTGCATGAAACACATCAATTTCCAAGATGTAACCTTCAATTATAACATTTTATCTTCTTCTGTATTTATTATCTATGTACATTATAAACCAAGGTGTCCTGTTTTCCTTGCTAAGTAATCTATCTTTTGCCATATTTAATACTGCTTTTGTTCAGTTGTTTAATGGCAGTGTTTTGAACCTTTCCCCCCTTTCCAGAGAGAATAAGTGGTATAGAAAAATTAAGCACAACTTTATTTGTTTTTAATATACATGAATCATTAAGAAGACAAATCTATGAAAACATGATGTTGACCTTCTGTTAAACTAGTCCTCTTTGGAGAAAACAAAATTGTTTGTTATCATTTTTTTAAAAAATTAAATGCACCGTGTGCTTCAGACTCACCCATTAAACACCTTAATATCTGTGGGCACTGGGAACATCTCGTCAGCAAAACCATTAAAATGATGTAAGAATCTTGGACGTCTCCCATTCATTTTGATTGAGGTTGTACAGCTGACATTTACAATGTACTTGGCCATAGCTTATGTTGGTTGTTGCATTGACATTGATGAGAATATTATATAAATACATTGAGCTGGTGAAGCTTTTACGGCATAGCCTTCAGACAAGAACTGCCCTGGACTTTACAACACTGATCTCTGCCTTATCACTTCTCACCTCTCTTTTCCTTGTCTTTTGTTCCAATTAACAGGATGAAATTAATGCATTGTCATTTTGAGCATTATTTTTTTGAAACTGGAATGCTTTTGAAAGACTACTTTTACTATGGCATAAACTATCTCACATAGCAGCCCAATTCAAAAGATGCAAAAGATGCCAACTCCATTGGCAGATTGTTATCAATGGGTCAGAGATTTGAATCAGAGCAGTCACTGAGGACATCAGCACCCACAAAGTACAAATCATAATAATCACCTTAATAAAGGTCATTAACATACAGTAGTTGGGTGGTAACAGAGATATTTTTGCATTAATAAGCTGACTAGCATATGTGACTTCCATGGCTTGAACAAAAACTGAAGCTTTTACTTGATCATCAGATCAAGCAGGGATGTTAGTGTTCGGATGTTGTTCATGGAGTAGACAGTTATCTCACAGACCACATAGAAACTATGCTGATACAAGAAAACAGGTTTTATAGTGTTATAGTACTAGGTGATCATGCTGTCTCCATTTAAAAACCTCTAACAAGAAGGTTTGATAGCTTCTAAGCAGTTTATACTGCTTAAAGGTTTTTTAAAGGATCTGTGCTGACACCGTTATTGTATTATGATGCGAAATGGGAGTTAAGGTTTACATGCTTACATTAGATAAGGTTAAGGTTTACATGTTTACATTATATAACTAATGGAGGTACTGTACATTTATTTTTAGTTATGTAAGGCCAATACCAAACATTCGCAGCACTGCTGTTATCTTTTATTTTGGTCCTTCGTAATATGAATACTGAGGAATGGTTTATGGTTTAAATGGTGATTTAAGAGGTTAAATATAACACTTGTATTATTTTTAAAAAATTACGAGTTGAAATTTACACTAACATTCTTAAATAATTATATCTGCTCCTTGCCCTCTTTTGCACTGCTAGCCAAACAACAGGATGGTGCTGCAGCAATGGAGATGCAGCCACTGAAGAGTGCAGAAGGTGGAGAAGGAGACGATAAAGACAAGAGGAAGGCTAACATGCATAAGAAAGAAAAATCTGTTCTCCAGGGGAAACTGACTAAGTTGGCTGTACAAATAGGCAAAGCAGGTATGATGTACATTTGTTAGGATATATCAGACATTACAATGAGGAATATGTTAAATGTATTTTATTGGAGATGTATCTTAAAAAATTTAGAGCTAAAGACTTGAAATATTGTCAATAAGACTTTTGATTTTTAGAAGGGAAATGTTAATACTTTTTTCTTCGTGTTTAAAAATAGAATATATTGTATGTATAGAAATATGTAGCCTTTGTTTAAAAGCCATAAGGTTGTACAAATGAGGGCCAAAGAGAAGAGTGGAGCAAAGAAATCTAGAGAACTTGAAATAGAAATAATGAAAACTCTCAGAAACATTGTTGAATATTTCACTTATTTATTTGGTATCAATACTTAATATTGTTTGATGGGAACATAGCATTTAATCAGTTCTGATGTGTAAGCCATGGTTTCTAAACTGAGAGTCTTGGATTAGCAGTCGGGAGACTGGGGTTCCATTCTCAATTCAGCTATGAAGCTCACTGTGTGACTTTGAGCTTTTCACATTTCATGGACTTGTGTAACTGTAGAGAAAGAAAGCTATATATGTCCTGCTTTAATCTCATTAGAGAAATGTAAATGTAACAGATAAAATAATAAAAATAAATAATTAGTGTAAAGGCAATCAGCATTACAGTGTACTTTGATGGGGTATCCAAATCCATGATTAAGCCAATAGAGAATAATGTTGATTATTCTCTGCCTTGAGTTACAGTGATGAATTCTAGTTCCAGGATAATTAAAATAATCAAATTTTAACTTATTTTCATTTTTATACTGCCTTTCTCCCAGTGCAGGGACCCAAGATGGCTCGTAAATTATTAAAAACAAAACAACAAAAAGCATGATAAATTATTGCATTAGAAAACAATTGAACATATAATAATATCAAAACAGTTAGTGAAAATGTATTAAAACACAGATAAAATAATTGTCATTTGCAGTATCCAAAAATAAGACTCTTTATGTCCCGATTGTTAACAAGCTGTCTAAAAAGGATGGGCTTCACTTGTTGCCAGAAGGACAAGAGGGAGGGGGGCCAACAGAGCCTCCAAGGCTAGGTCTTTCCATTGTGTGGGAGCAGCCACAGAGAAGGCCCTCTCTCACATTCCCCCCAAGTGGGCCTGCCATCTTCTCTTTCTCTTTTCCCCACACTTTGCTTTCTCAGTCCCAGCTGTGGTGGGGGAACCGTCATAAAAAGAAGGAGAGCAATAATGGCAGTAGTGGAATCCGCTTTATATTCAGGCAGAACCATTTGTGAGTGGTGATTAGGCAGGCAGATTTTCACCTGAGTTTTCAATGTTTGTGTATGAGCACAAGAACTCCAGTGTTCATTGTCATGGAGAATAATGGTTCTCTCAAGAGTGTTCTCATATTATGGATTTTTCTTGTTGTTGTTGAGCCTGTAGTCCTTATCTCAGTTGTAGTCGTATGTAGTGAAGCATCACTGAGCTCAATGCAACTTAGACATATATAATGTGCTGTTGTATAAAACTTTAGGGTTTTGTTTTTATTCTCCATTGTTCCTTTTAAAAGCACCTTTTAAAAAATGACACTGGCTGAAATCTTACTGTTCCCCCCCCCACACCACCACCTTACATGGTAGTTCAAGCATGGAAGTTGTGCCCAATCAGGCACATGTGTAATACCTCCTTAGCTGGTCTTAATTAGCATCTGCAATGACCACTATTGAAGTAACATTTGCAGAAGAAAATATAAAGGGTTTTACTACAATCGCTTGATTTATTAAAGTAAAAGATAGCTAGGTTGGCCTCCCCCCCTTTTGTCCTTCCATCAGCAGGCAAATACCTTGCTCTTAAGCAGTAAGTTATCTCAGATATGCTGTGTGTTTTTTGCACTTACAGATTTTAAAAAAATTTTAAAAATTATTTTTAAACTTTTTTAAAAAATTTAATATGTGTTTAATTGTTTTTGAAATGTGATCTTTATGCCATGCTTTAAAATCTGTTGTTTTATCATCTGCCGTGAGCTGCCTTGGGTCTCTTATGGGGATAAAGGTGACCTATAAATAATATAAATAAATAAAATAAATAAATAAACAAAGATGTATTTGTCTCTCTGTTTCAGGTCTGGTGATGTCTGCCATCACTGTCATCATTTTAGTATTGTACTTCACTATTGAAAACTTTGTAGTTGAGAAGAAGCCATGGCTCACCGAATGCACTCCAGTCTATGTTCAATATTTTGTCAAGTTCTTCATAATCGGTGTTACTGTGCTTGTAGTCGCTGTCCCAGAAGGACTTCCCTTGGCTGTTACCATTTCCCTTGCTTATTCTGTAAAAGTAAGTAATTGTCTTAATACTGTTATAAATAAATAATGATCAATCCTGAATGCATAATTATTGTAATATAAGATAATTGGCTAGTAAACCATTATGGGCTATTCTGGAGGAAATCTCGATCACTTTTATCCCCTGATGAAACCTACTTCATTGTGTGGCAATATCCCTTCCCCAATATATCCTTTCTTTTAAAAAAATCATTTGTATTGTATAGGACTTGTATTGAAATTTTTAATTATACCTCAGTAAAGAAAAAAAGTATTTAGCATATCAAAGATTTTACACAGAGGATGTTTTGGCACTCCAGCATGTTAGTCCAAATATTACCATGAGTGCATGGAGGATCCATCATATTGTTCCCATATGGCTGTACATAAGTAATAAATGGAAGCTCCATTGGAGTAAAATTATTGAAATCTGTATTCATACCTGTATTCTTTACTTATGGTTCATCTTTCCAATAAATCAAGATCCCACGCTTGTTTATGCCATGCATTGAAGGAGAGATCTGCAGTATTCTTTCTGGTCTTTGCACTTCCTGCCGCACGGCTGTGAGCAGAAATGTGACAAGCTTGTGTGAGAAATATTTTGGCAAATTCGAAACCGCAGTTTGGGTATACCTGGTAATATGTCTTGGATTTGTTGCCCAGTAAGTGGTTTGTTATCTGAATGAAAAACTTGAAGGGTATACTCAGTGTGGTTTGTTATGCAACCACACTGATTTTGCCTATTTCTTTCATATTGTTCATCGCCCCGTGGCCAGAAAGAGGCAGAGAATGATTGCATATCATGGCTGTCACAAGTTTTAAACCTGTATCAGTTCTGTGTAACTTTGTGGCTCCTTGGTGGTCTATAAATGAATAGTCTTAGTGTGGAGTCTGGAATTTGAAAGAAATAAAACAACAGTGTGATGTTTGGCAAACTAAACAGGATCATTTATGTTATAAACACTCCCTTAACTATAGATATAAGCCAAATTTTTCTTAACACATGTTTTTTTCCCTCTGGAGTCAGAACCTATTGTTAGTTCAAAGATAATGGCAGGAAGAAGACTTCGACATTGTTTGGCACAGTGAATGGAATGTTATATTTGGACAGATCTTGGGTATTGTGAAGCCTTTTTAAACTGTAAATAAAACCTTTATGTAAATCACAATGAGCCTATTGGGGTATTATTTATTTATTTAAAATGTTCATATCCAACATCCTCCTCAAAAGAACCCAAGACGTAATGGCAGCCCCATTTTAAGGAAAAACCCCTCATAGGCAGCGGACATCCTCAAAAGAAATGTCTTTGCCTGCTCTTTGAAGATCAGCAAATAGAGGGTTGGCTCGGGCCTCCACTATGAAAAGTTCCACAGTTTGAGAGCAGTGGCAGAGAAAGCCCTCTCTCATGTCTTCACCAAATGCACTTGTGAGGGTGGCAGGACTGAGAGAAGGGTCTCCCCTGATAATTTTAAAACCCAGGCAGGCTCGTAGAGTCACCTGAAAGATGCAGTCTTTCATGTAAGCTTTGACCCAAGTCATTTAGAATAGAAATACATTTTCTGGAAGCTCCAAATTTATAAGTGAAATTGGTGTATGTCTTTCTCATTTAAATGTGTTTGGTCTTGCTTAAATCAGGGACTGTTATTTTTAATTGCAGACGTCATCATTTCCTCCCATATTTTACCCTCACCAAATATCTCAGTACAAATATGTTCATTCCTATTTTTTGTCCTAACATTTCATTCTCTATTTTCAAATCAAATTTCAGTAGTGGTTGGAATATCAGACATTGAAGCTGGATGTTATATACAATTGTAGAATTCATTATTACATGTTACTTTTAAGTTAAAATATAGAAATGTTGGCATATATTTAAATGAAATTAATTGCTGAATTACGTAAACTGGTAGCAATATCTTCAGCAGACCTAAGGTTCCTATATGTATTTAAGAAGAGCAAATATAGGTTTGTACAAATCTCAGTGCATATGTCCTCCTTTAAAAAGTTACCATGCATTTTATTAGCATAAGTATTTTTTTCAACCTATTTAACAAAATGAGCTTTTACATATATTTTTCTTTCTTTAGAAAATGATGAAGGATAACAATCTGGTTCGACATTTAGATGCGTGTGAGACTATGGGTAATGCTACAGCCATCTGCTCTGATAAAACAGGGACATTAACAACCAACCGGATGACAGTAGTACAAGCCTATATTGGAGACGTCCATTACAAAGAGATCCCTGACCCAGATTCTATTCCAGCCAAAACTCTGGATTTGCTGGTTAATGCAATTGCCATCAACAGTGCTTATACTACAAAAGTTCTGGTAAGCAGGCTTTGCTCTCAGACAGTTAAAGGATGAAAAAGAAAAGCCGCATGAGTTTGTAAACCTTTGTCGATACAAAAAAAAAATATCTTGTCTCTCAGAAATACTATTGTGTGATTTTTGCACCCAGTAGTTTAAGAAATATAGTTATATTGTGCCTTTTTAAAAATTAGAAACCACAGTTTTCTTCTTTATTTTATGACTTAGGCTGAAACTGTATATCCACTAACTCCTTAACTGGGGGACTTGATCCTTTACTTCAGTGAGACAAGACTAGCTTATCAGTATGTGTATACTGGAATGCAGTGTTGCTTGTCAATGTTGCTCACTTTTCATGAGCTTTGATCTTTAATATGAAAAAAATTGCAGTTGAGTTAAGTTGCTGGAGGAGCCCAGCCAGGACAACGAGGACTCATATGTTGTGACATCAATATGGATCTCTCAAGTGTTCCATTAGAATCATCTTGTTATTGTAATCCTTACAACAAGCTAGTGATTGGTATTATTATTCCCCAAATTCAACAGGAGAAGACTGAGGCTGAGAGACTGTGGCTTGCCTAGGGCTTCCTACTAAGTATAGCCATTTGGATTTGAGCGGATGGCATTGCCAGTGGGTGAAAAGGGTACTTTCCTGTTTGTTGTGGCCTTGAGTCATGTAGAGAGATCACCCTTACAAAGTGAATGACGTGTCTTTCAAGACAGTAGTATTTTATTTGCCTGGATCTTCAGGGAAAGGTTCTTTTTTTGGTCATACCAACAAGGACATCCACAAGGACATCCAGTGAGAACTGATGGTGGCTGAAGGACTGCCTTGGCAAGGGAAGCTGGGTTGCTACCCCCCTGGTATCCTTTCATCAAAAGGCAGAGAAATTTCTGTTCAGGCAGGCTTATGGGAACTGACTGCACTGTGTAGAATGATCTTTTAATATGGAATACTGTCATTTTATTTCCACTTTTTAAATCATTTAAAAATTAATATTTTAATTCAGTGGTTGATTCATTATATGTCTGAGTTTTAAGCTGGTTATCTGGTTTGGGCACCTGTATTAGGAGAAAGACAGATATTAAGTATTGCTGAAATTCTGTTGGGCAGATTGGTGTGCTCAACATTGATGGCACCATCAACAGTGGCAAATTGTACTAATCAGTGCATGCAACTTTGTGGCATTGTGTATGAGTCTATTGCCTCTAGCCACTGGTAATTTGCCACTGATTATGATATCATCCCTGTTGTGCACACAGAACTCTGCAATAGGATTCCAAGTAATAAGTAAGAACATAGTTAGATAAGTAAAAGTTAATTGCCTTGGCAGTTGCAGTGCATTGTCTCCAACCTGAGAAGAATTGTGCACTCTTTCTTGAAAGGATGTGGAGTATATGTGCCAAATGAATCTTCTATTTAATATAGCACAGTAAACTCACATGTAGGATAGTATTTCTAAACTTATATGAAAGGCTGTGCATCTTTGTGACTCCTGCAGTGCAACAGGGCACTTTTCTTGCTGCCTGATGGAGAAGTGGAATAAGAATGGCAGGGAGGGGAGAGGGCTGCTCTATCTCCTGCCTCTTTGAAGGCATTCACTCCTATAATTTGGCTCTCTCTCTCTCTCTCTCTCTCTCTCTGTGTGTGTGTTCTCACTGAATTATTCTGTCCCTAATTTCTATAGGTAACAGAAACTATTGTCATTAAGCCTTTACAGAAATTGAATTTACCCACAAGGTAAATATAATGTGGTGGCGACAAAAGAAGTGAATGCAGCTGTAGGCTGCATCAGCACAAGTGTAGTGTCTAGATCAAGGGAAGTATTTTAGTTGGCTTTGGTCAGACCTCATCTTGAATACTGTGTCTAGTTCTGGGCGCCATAATTTAAGTATACTGAGAGCAGGGCAGTTAGGATAGAAGAGGTATTGGAGAAGCCTCGTGAGAATCAAGTAAGGAAGCTGAACATGTTTAGTTTGGAGAAGAAAAGAGAGGTGGTATAGTGACCATCTTCAAATATTTTGGCAGTGTCAATGTGGAAGATAGAACAAGCTTGTGTTCCATAGCTCTGAAGCACAGAATCAAAACTAGTACATTCAAGCTGCAAGAGAGGAAAATTCTACTGAACCTTAAGAAGAGCTTCCTGACAGTAAGAGATATTGAATGCTGGAATAGAATACTTTACGCACTAGTGAACTCCCCAAACGTTTTAGACAGAGCCTGGGTGTCCATCTGTAAGGGATGCTTTAGCTATGAATGTTTTGCAATGACAGGAATTTGGACTTAATGATCCTTGGGGTCCCTTCTAAGTCCCTTAAATGATCATTATTTCTTTAGAGACTTTATATTCTGTCTTGTCCAAGCTTGAGATGGCTTACAGTAACATGCAAATAATAAAATAAATCATGTTAGTCTGCGAATAGTCCAGGGAGAAGAGTACAGAAACTGTGCTACGATTTTTTTTCCAGACTGAGCCGCCAAAAGCATTGAGAAGGCAAAGTGTTTTGTACTTCCTTCAGAATGCTGCTTTGAGGCCCAATCCATTTAGATCCTCTGCTAATCAGATTCAATAAAATTTGAGAAGAGTTTAAGACATTTATATGATAAAGTACGACTTTAATGTTAGTATGTGATGCCTTTGTTATAGCAGAGGGTTTCCTATTTCAAGGCATTTCTTCTATGGCTGTGAGTTTATAGCTGTCTGTGGCATATTCAGCCCTTTAAAAAAGTCTGGTGTTGCAAGCCTGGGCAAAACAAATCTAACAGAGGTATAGAGAAAAAAAGCACAACTACCCCAGTACAGAGTTGCTCTGAACATAGCTGCATGAAACGTACCTCAGCTGATGTCTCTTTTGGACTCTGTTTGGCCCTTTATCTTATGCTAAGAACAAAAATCAGGCCCTTACAATGTACTCATGACAGCTGTGAGATGGCAGTTGTGAACAGTTCATTTGTTTGTTTCCAGTTGTGCCCATTTCTGCCATGCACACGATCACCACAGCTACCAGACCTCTTCAGAGCCAAAAAGCCTGTTCCTTGCAGTAATCATCTTCCCCAGTCTAGAGACAATAAAAATGGTGGGTCTCATGTGGGAAGATCATACAAAAAAAAAAAATCACTGTGGGCTTTAGCCCACTATAAACAGTAAAAAGCATCATATTTAAATTCTTCCTTCCATGGAAAGCAGTTACACTTAATATGTGAAATGAATATATAGTATATAATTTCGTGAAGACAATTGACTTTTTTCTTTTCTTAGACCAGCTGAAAGACACATAGCTAAGGGATAAATTCTGTTCAGTTCATCATTTGCTTCTTCACATTTAGAATAAAAAAAAAACACTTTTCTCTTGAGATTATAGCAAAAATGAACGTGGAAGACGTGGACAGACATATGCTTCCAGATTTATGGCTTTCAGTGCTTAACTCAGAGTTTGGTTTTGCATCCTGCTCATATCCAACTATGTTAAGTTTCCAACTTCTTTTTGCTAGGGAGCCCCTCACCTTTTACGTTCCATGTTTCTCACCATGTTGTGACTGGGTGCAAGATGTTGAATGAAAATGTTATTTTGATTTATTTTTGAAGAATTTAGCTCAATTCTCCAATTCCATAGAATGGAAAGGGCTTGAGCTTTGAAGTTTCCGGTGCGGGTGAATGCAAAACAAAAACACATGGGGTTTTCAAGGGGTGTCCATGAGCAATTCTAAAAACAGAATATGAAATATTGCCTTAATGAAAGCTCATTCAGATACAATATTGATCTGAATAGTACTGGAATAATCAAATGATGGCTGTGTTGTTTTTATTGTGGTGAATAAGAATTAGGTGGAACTACACAACAGGAGGAGACAACTACCTTTTTACTTCATACTTCATGAGTGGATGGAGAGGCAGTTGCAGAGGACATTAGAGCTTGGAATATTAAATGTAGTGACAAAAAAAGGCTGACAAGATTAATCCTTTCCTCACCCACTCCAATGTATATTCTCCCCAATACTCTTTCTCATTTAATTTATTCCAGTCCTGATCTGAAAACTGTAAATTCCTCCCTCCGTAGGGATATAAGTCAAGGGAATGGAAATACATTTGCAAGGAGCTTGGCAAATTCAAGGCGGATGTTCTATCCACAGGTTGCCTGCTGCCCATACTTTCTTCTTCACCTCAGCATTTGCTTTGCCTGAGGGGAAGAGAGATTTCGGACAGGAATATGCCAAAGTTATGATTATCCGTACACTAAGAAAATCAGGAAAAGGCCATGTGATCCTCAAGATTACACAAATGCAAGAGCAGGGTCGAAACACTTAAAAATAAAACAAATTGCAGGCTTTCATGGAGAAAATTCCACTTCATCAGGCTGGGCACCACCCCTTCATGGATACTGCAGAAAAACTGTAGATAAGAGCCCCCGAAATTCAAGGCAGACGACTGTGCCAAGTATGAGGAAGGTTCAGACTTAGTTGCAAACATCTGCTGTCAAATACAGCCTCAAGCCCTTGCAACATGGTTGGGTGCTTTTATGCATTGGTCACCTACTAGTCACTGATAAAAGGAAAAATGGTTGCAGTCTTTCTGTTGTATGTTTTCAAGAACAAATGTAGGACAATGGTTAACATAGCTTTCTCTGAAGAAGAAGAGTTTAAGCAAAGCTTTATAAACAGAATACAGTGGTGCCTCGCTTAACGGGTGCTCCGTTTAGTGATGAAATCACTTAGCGATGATTTTTTCAGAGCGTTTTTGTGCTTCATTTAGCGATGGTCCCTATGGGCGATTTTCACTGAGCAATGGTTGGGACCATGCTTTGCATAGCGATTAAATTTTGTGTCCCCTGTTTCTCTTAACAGTGGTTTAAACAGCCTCATGTTTGCTGTTTTTTAAAATGTTTTTCTGATATTTATAAAGTTAAAGTTAACTGTTTAAAATGTTTGAAATCATAAAGTGCACTTAATAAACCCTTTGTTAACCAAATTTGACTTTGTTCTGACTCTTTTTTTAATTTGTTGTAGTATTTTCCCCCCATTGAGATGCATTGAATAGGTTTCAATGCATTTCAATTGGGGAACCACATTTCGCTTAGCGATGTTTCCTATGGCGATTTTTGCTTAAGGACGGCAATTCGTTCCTATTGGAATGGATTATCTGGTTTTCAATGCATTTCAATGGGAAACCGTGTTTCGCTTAGCGATGAAATCGCTTAGCAGCTATTTTTTTGGAACGAATTAACATCGCTAAGCAAGGCACCACTGTAGCTAAATATAGCCACTGCCATGGGGCTAAGGGCTGCAACCAAATGCTCTGTGCACACATTAAGATAAGCATTTAAACGCAAAGGTTCTGGATCAATGCTGACTAATCAGCCGATTTTTCTAATGGAATGGATTAAAGTCTCACATTCTTTCCCACACAAGTCTGATTCTTTTCCAGCAGGAGCTTTTTTTTAAAAGCACCATCAATATTTGACTTCCAGATATGAAGCTTATACTCAAATGTTATGATAACACAATCCATTTACTTAGGGATATGAAGTATTAGTTGTTTTAGAACATTAGATTAAATAAAGGTCTGCACATGAATAGTGGATTGTATCTGTTGCCAATAAAACCAAGTAGGAAGTGAGAAGTTGTTGTGAGAATTATCACCAATTCATCATCAGTCTGTTCTTCATGCTTGGCTTTATAGGCTGATTGACATATATGGTTGGGACAGATTTATATATAATTATATATCCCGTTTTCAAATGTGCTAGACCATTTCCTTCTTCATATATTTTCTACTTCACTATCAACACTTTAAAATGTTGCCCTGGTTTACAGCCGTCTATTATCTAATTAAGATTATTTAACATACGCAAATAATTTACAGATGGCTCTGTTTTAATCTGAATCATATGTGTAAGATACATGCATGTCAGGACTGTTGTAACCATTATGATCATCTCTCATGTCTCTTACTTTACAACAGGTAGTGCTTTGTAGGCATACTCTGCTTGAAGGACTGTCAAGTCCAAGTCCAGTTTAAAGATACATATCTCTTAAAAAGAGATAATGAGGATCTTGAGTTTATCCATTAACAGGCAGCAACCGGGTGCAAGTACACAAGTCATTTAAACACATGTCTTCCACTATGAGGAAGTGTACTTTTGATTTAAAATATAGTAGCTATTTCTAAAGTCGTATCTGTATGAATTGGTTGAATAATGGTATAGGGCTCAATTTATAAAATAGCTTCTCACGTACTTATCTGTCTATCTGTCTATCTGTCTATCTGTCTATCTATCTATCTATCTATCTATCTATCTATCTATCTATCTATCTATCTATCTATCTATCTATCTATCTATCTATCTATCTATCTATCTATCTATCTATCTATCTATCTATCTATCTATCTCACATGAACAAGTTCAGAGGAGGGCAAGAAGGATGAAAACCATGCCCTATGAAGAAAGAATTAAAGAAAGGGCATGTTTGGCCTTGAGAAAAGAACACTGAAAGGAAATAAGATTGCACTTTTCAAATACTTGAAAGATAGTGACACAGAGGATCATTCTCGATCACCCAAGAGTACAGGATACATAAAAATGGGCTAAAGTTATAGGAAGCCAGATTTTGGCCAAATATCAGGAGAAACTTCTTAACTGTTAGAGCAGTACAACAATAGAAACCATTACCTCGGGAAGCGATGAGCACTCCAGTACTGGAGGTACTCAAGAGAAAATTGGACAACTACCTGTTAGATCTACTTTGATTTGGATTCCTGCATTAAGCAAGGTGTTGGACTCAATGGCCTTATAAATTCCAATTACGTTATTCTATTATTCTAAATAAGCAAATAATCTTGTACCCATTTTATCTTTGGTGTCTAAAGAATGTGGAAGTGTAAAAGAGTACAGGAGTTATTATGCAGTAGTCCAGTGATGTTCTCCCCCTTTTTGCTCCAACTTTGAGAGTTAATAAACCTGAAATAATCTAAAATAAATTGTAGTGGAAAGCATAACCCAGATTATCTCTTGCTAGAGATGGAGATAAGTAATCTGTGCTGCCAGGAACTTGGCTTGGCAGACAGATTGTTTTTGCTGAAGTGTTGCGGGAGAGATTGAACGACTGCCAATTCTCACCACCATGTGCTTAATTTTAATAAACACCATGCTGAGATTGTGGGGTCTGCAGCTGTTATAGTAGGCCTAGCAGACTTTCAGACCTCTATGCCATTATATAAGATGACTTATAAGTAGCATACAGAATGTTGTAGTCTTCTTGTGTTTCTTAGTAGATTTTTTTTGGTAATTCAATTTAATTTTTATTTGTTTCAAATTGTGTCGTTCTACTACCTTTCTGAAAACTGCACAACATGCCGTGTCTGGTAGGGACTTTTTAAAAAAATTACTGAAGCAAACCAAACACAACTTGGAGATATTGTAGCAAAACATTGAAAGGGAAATGAAAATTAATGAAAACAATATTTTTGGTTGTTATCAAAATAAATTAAAATCCTTATTGTGAAGCAGCACATGCTGGAATATTTGATTAGGGACCCAGTACTGATGCCTTAAAATGACAAAAACTGCCTTACAGGTCATTGAATATTGGGGTTTGGGGAAATAGTTAATCATTCTACCACAAATATTTTGTTCTTGATGCTCCTTGTCGCTTTCTCAATATGAAGGCAACAGAAGCTTACAAGAGGACCTGATCCAAGTGATCACATTGGCGGAGGGAGGGGAAAGTCTGGAAGTTTTTCCAGTTCAAAAACAAAGAATCTATTCTAAGCTTCATATGATATATTTGCCTAAGTGGTCAAAATGCCATCCATACATTTTCGCTGTAATCCTCTTCACTGCTATCAGTATCATTATTATCATTATCCTCACTCTACCTATGGGCAGCTGAGACTGACAGATAGTGTCTTGCCTCAGACTGTGCATGGGTGTAACGATAGACAAAGTGAAAATATCCAGTTCAAAGCTCATGCTCATGCCACAACAATAGTACAGCAGTTTGGAATTCATTCTGTTAATCTTAATGCAGCCATTCTAAAGGGGGGTGGCATATAGCCCCCTGGGGAACCCTGGACCATTTGAAGGCGGCCATAGACTGAAAACAGTTATTCACATACTACCCTATAAGGTTCATTATGCGGCTTATACAATCCTGATTCAGTCTATATTTCTTTCATATTGTGTTTATATCTGTTACCAAAAAAAGGTTGAGAATGGCCTTTTACTATAATAGGCCCACTAAAATTAATGGGAGTTTAACTAATAGACATTGATATGCTTGATTTGTTTTAGTGCATCTACTCTAGACTAAATTAGTCCAAAATCAGGAGTAAAACAAAACAAAAAAATTCAAAATGACTTCATGTATAGACTGGCCTTAGCCAATGGGTATATGCTGCTGAGTGTGAAAAAAACATCTCAAAATCAATTATTTTTGTCTTCTTAGCCACCAGAAAAGGAAGGTGGTCTACCTCGTCAAGTTGGCAACAAGACGGAGTGTGGATTATTGGGATTTGTGTTGGACCTAAAGCAAGATTATCAGATCATCCGGAATCATATGCCAGAAGAAAAGCTTTACAAAGTGTACACATTTAACTCTGTGAGAAAATCCATGAGCACAGTCATTAAACTGCCCGATGAGAGCTTCCGAATGTACAGCAAAGGAGCTTCTGAAATTGTCCTAAAGAAGTAGGTATTCAGTACTGGATTTAAACTTTTTCTCATACTGTATTTATATGATTCCAGTTCTTGTTGTTAGGTGGCTTTCACTCTTACTACCACGGATAGAAGAATATGTAAGTCCACAAACTCCTATACTGCCTGAAAAGGGCATATTCTGTCATTTAAAGAATTTGCTTTCCAGTGAGCCATTATGTTCTGAATAAGTCCCTTGGAAATGAATGGGAATTATGCATGAGACCTTCCAGGTGATGTGCTGTCAAGATGCATCTGGCCTATAGTGATCCTAATAGGGTTTTCAAGGAATATGAGATATTTATGGGATGTGGTGGCGCTGTGGGCTAAACCACAGAAGCCTTTGTGTGCTGCAGGGTCAGAAGACCTGCAGTTGTAAGATTGAATCCACGCGATGCAGTGAGCTCCCGTCGCTTTGTCCCAGCTCCTCGCCCATCTAGCAGTTCGAAAGCATGTAAATGCGAGTAGATAAATAGGTACCATCTTGATGGGAAGGTAAACAGCGTTCCGAATCTAAGTCGCACTGGCCATGTGACCACGGAAACTGTTTTCGGACAAATGTTGACTCCACGGCTTGGAAACTGGGATGAGCACCACCCCCTAGAGTCGAACACGACTGACTAGAAATGTCAAGGGGAACCTTTACCTTTATCAGTATCCTCCTCATTCATTTCTGTCAGACATTTTTATTGTTAAATAGGAATTCAAATCCCGTTCTCCTTGGTCTGTCACTCTATCCACATTTGGCCAGATTACTGACCAAGGCTTGATTCACTGGGCCTGATTCGCTCTCCTGTATCAATCTACATTAGCAAGTGTTCAAGTTCCAAGGATCTATTGTCTTCAAAGAGGCATTAAATACTATTGTATTATTTAAAAGCTGTTGACTAGAATTCTATCATCCTTATGATTTCAGAAGATGCTGTTTAATTGTGAGTATAGTAGTAATTATTACAATTTATATTCCTTGCATACTGAATTTACACATTTGGCGTTGTTATCATTTCCTTCCAGGTGTTCTAAGATTCTTAACGCAGCTGGTGAGTCCCGCGTATTCAGACCTCGCGACCGGGATGAGATGGTAAAGAAAGTGATTGAACCCATGGCCTGTGATGGACTGAGAACCATTTGTGTTGCTTTCCGAGACTTCCCCAGCAGCCCAGAACCTGACTGGGAAAATGAAAATGACATTTTATCAGATTTGACCTGCATTTGTGTGGTTGGCATAGAAGATCCTGTAAGACAAGAGGTATGCTGGACTCAAGCCCTGTTCCTAAGCAAGCTTACTTTGATGTAATTTCTATCAAACAATAAGGATCATTTCCAAATAATTTTTTTATCAGATTGGTAAAGCATTGTGAATCTGAATTAGCCCCCCCCCAAAAAAAAAGTTTGGTACAGTTTAAATTCTAGGGCAGAATTCTTCCAGTTAAAGTGAACTAAGGATTCATTTTCACTAATTTAATTTACAGAAGTATTTTCATCCTTTGATTATATTGTCAGGGACTACTTTAGTTCTGCCAGAGATTCACTGGGACTCTTTGGAGTTGGTGGCGGTGCAAAGATTCTTTTCTGAATTATATTCGGCTGAGGCAGTCCTTTCCACACAATTAAGGGACACAGGAATGAAAGGTGTGTGCACTCACTCCATCATATTGCTACAGATTCCACACAGAAGTGATTAACTAATATTGTAGTTAAGCCCTTGCACTCATATTTGAAAGTAAGTTCAGTGGGATTGTTCAGTAAGTTTATTTTATTTCATTTATTTATTGAATTTATATCCCGCCCATCTACTCTGGGCGGCGTACAACATATAAAATAAAACAAATTAAAATATAACAATGATATAAGTTCAGTGAGAAAAGCCATGGAAAGAACAACTGTAAAGGCAGATAAAGAAAAACAAAGGCCATGTCAGACCAAAAACTTTCCAGGCTTATGCCAGCAGAGCTAAGAGTGTTTCTTTCCCATAAATACTTCAGCCTCCCAGCATTTCCAGCCACAATGAAACATGACGTTGGTACTTGAGAACTTACGGGCAAGTGTGTGATGTGGTACCTCTGCCAATAATGTTAGATTTATAATGATTCTCCTTTCCACATGTATTTGTTCCTTGATGCCACAGTCAACAAGTGACGAACATGGATGGATTTTATTCCTGTTATTTGTAAATTTTGGTTGTTTTATTTAGATTGAACTTCTATAAACATAATGAAGGAAACTTATTGACTGAAATCTTGTTTGCACAGCAATGCTGCATAAAGCAGATAACATCATAATCGTCTACGTTTTGGGGGAAATTTTAAAAATCTGGTTTAATCTTCTAAAAGACCGATACCATCATCATGTGCTAGCCACTGGTACTTCTCAGGGAAATCTTTAATTTCTGTAGAATGCTTTACCAGTGATTATGATGATTTTAAGAAATCAAAGACTTCTCCTGTCCCATGGCCGTCATGGGCTTCCCCGTCATGGGCTTCCCCATGGGAACCTCAAGACCTTTGGCAGGAGGATCAGAAAATTCTTCTACCTCAAAAATTGCCACAGCTGATGATGTCACTGGTCTTAATGCAGCATAGCTACACGAACAAGATTTGAACCACTGTTTTAATGCTGTTTGGTGGGAAGAAAAGTAACGCATATATTTATTATAAATCATCAGATATGGAGAAGAAATCTTTCTATTTCCAACAATCCTCAACTGTTCTGCCCAAGCCTTCCTCACTGATCCCCAAATGTATCTCCACTTCCTTTTTTTTCCCTGCCAACCAGCGGTGTTATTGGGAACAAGGGTATAGAAGCAAACTAAAATAAATTTAAAGCCAAAAAGTAGTTTGGCAGCTTAGCAGAAGGAACTAACACAAGTAATCTAAACAGAAAGCTCAGTTTGCCTGTGGGAAGCTTCCCCCCCCCTTTTTAAAAAGGGCCCGCCAAATCATAGTCTACTCTTGCAAAATAATATTTGCATTCATAATACAGTATATCCTGTATGTTGAATTCAAATTTCTTACAATGTGAAATGTAATTCAAAAAAGCAGATTTCTGAATTATGTTTCGCATTGGGAGATTGTTTTCTCTGTGTACCCCAGAATGTTTTTATGGTTGCTTTCTGATCCGAAGGACATCAGTTATAGGATTTATGCCACTGAAAAGCTGCTTTTGGAAGTGCCTGCTGAGGCACGTCCCATTACACGTCCCATTACACGTGTGCCTGTTTGCATGCTGAGGAGTGCCCTGGTCAGGAGGGGAGGAGAGAGGGAATTTTGGCTACTGTGTAAATCCATGGTAACACTCTCAGGCCTTTAAGCAGATTCAAATGCTCAAAAATAAAGAGAGCAGGAAAAATCTTTGTATCTGTTCTTCATGGCAGCTGTAGTGATTCCTCAAGCATCCACCTTCAACAAACATTGAATACTAAAGGATGCAGCTGCCTTCCTTGTTTTCCCTTGGTGCAAAGCATCAAGACTTTCTGTCCATTTTAAGTCACTCTCGAAGAGAATTTGCACATTTATGTATTTGCAAGTCCAATTTTGGGGTGTTCATGAGACTTATTTTTTCACATTTCTATAAATACTCAAAACGTAGAACTATGGAAGGTGCTGTTTATTACATGGAGTTTTAATGATATCAGCCTTGAGGGTGTTGTTTGCATATTTATAAAGCAGTACTTGATGGGATGGGACTTACCTTCACAAAGGGAAAAGCCACTATACAAGAGAAATTTTGCACAGCTGCACAAAGTATGATGGGAAAATTGTTTGATGTCTTCTTAAGTGGAATGAATTTTTAAGTGGGAGGAATCTTCAACAGGCTGTGTTGCCATGTTGCATTGACCTTCTCAGCCATAAGTGGACCTTGTTACCATATTGGCATGTCCCTTTTCTTGAGGACTGCCATTAGAAAGGGGAAGCAGTTGGTGACTATTGATCAGATCCATTGTGTATTCACTGGTTACGTTCCAGCTTTTTAAAAAACCAAAAAAAAAAAAAATATTTGCGAAGGCTTTCACGGCTGGTATCAAAAAAAAAAAAAACACAACAAAATATTTGCGAAGGCTTTCACGGCTGGGATCTAATGGTTGTTGTGGGTTTTTCGGGCTCTTTGGCCATGTTCTGAAGGTTGTTCTTCCTGACGTTTTGCCAATCTCTATGGCTGGCATCTTCAGAGGACTGGCGTAGGAACTCTTGTCTATGCTCTGTTGCTGTTTGTTGGATAGTTGAGCTATAAATACTCTTTGCTGTTCTTCCATCCTTTCTCTTCAGGATGGCTTTCCTTTAGTGACTGGCTGTCTGAGAAAGATTGTAGGACCTTGTTGCTTTGGATGTGTTTTTGGTATTGATTTTGTTTACTATATTAGTGTGGTATTTGATTCTTTTTAAAGTATCTGCATATGGTTTATAAGGTATTTGTGTTACATAAGGGATAGTTTTACCAGAGCCATATCCTCCAGTAAGTTTCAATGACTGAATGGATATTTGAACCCAGGTCTCCTAAGTACTATATGTATTTTGATCTTTAGGCAGGGATGTGGTATTATTCTTTTTCTTGGCAGATGAGCAAGAAGCCACTTCTCCTCTGCCTCTTTGAAATCCAGCTTGTACTTCTGGGAGTTCTCGGTCCACATACTGCTGAAGCCTACCTTGTAGGATTTTGAGCATAACCTTGCTAGCGTGTGACATGAGTGCAATTGTATGGTAGTTGGAGCATTCTTTGGCACTGCCCTTCTTTGGGATTGGGATGTAGACTGATCTGATTCAGTCCTTTGGCCACTGTTGAGTTTTCCAAACTTCCTTGCATATTGAACGTAGCACCTTAACGGCACCATCTTTTAAGATTTTAGATAGTTCAACTGGAATGCCATCACCTCCACTGGCCTTGTTGTTAGCCATGCTTTCTAAGGCCCAGTTGACGTCATTCTCCAGGATGTCTGGCTCCAGGTCAGCAACCATACTCTCTGGGTTGTCTGGGACATACATTTCTTTCTGGTATAATTCCTCTGTGTATTCTTGCCACCTCTTCTTGATGTCTTCTGCTTCTGT